ATTCCTGCCAGAGTGCACGCACGTGCACATTTTTCCTAAACTGGGATTCAGGTCAAGCTCTTAACCTTGTATTTAACAACCTTACGGGTAGCTGCTCCTGGGAGCTCCCAACACATTAGTCAAGACTTGCCTCATCTGATTGCCTGAAAGGAGGTAACTCTGAATTCTGTGACCAAAGCAAACAGCAGTTTAGCTTCATCAGTTCAGTATTTCTGTATGTACCTAGACAGACAAACGCTACGTGGCGTTCAGGAAGCGGAACATTAAATGCAGTCTCAGAAGACTTTAATACACTGTGATGGGAAGTTTTCATTCATTGAGTTCACAGCTCAGATTCACTTAACTGAGACATGTATTTTCGTCAGCTGCTGCCAGTTTTAGTTTGTACAGTTTACACAGTGTTTTATGAAGTAAGTTCAGATGTGAGGAATGAGGTGTCAAACAAACAAAATGTTACTTTTACCTTTCTGATGAGGTCGGACAGCTCCATTTCTGCCTTCTGTTGTGCCATATCTGATTTGACTTCAGAGTACGTATCATTGATAATGGCCAAAAACATGTTCTGTTCATGAGAGAAATGAAAAAGCCCACATAAAGTTTTCAACAAGTCTGAGCCCTACTACTCCTATGACCTTCATGTGCAGACATATACATGAATTCTTCAAAAAGGGCCAGGAAGTGAGCTGTTAGAAAGCACTAGCATCAAGAGCTTGAGATGTTAAAATATGATGTACTGCAGTGTAACTCCTTTTAATCAGGACTACTAGTTATTAACATAGCTGCAGAGTTACTTTCCAGAGAGGGTTCATGCCTAGACACAGCAGTGGCAACAAACAATGCCTGTTTCATGTTTTAAGTTCGGCCTTATACCTGCAAGGCCAAACTTACACAGATAATAACTGTGAAAAAATCTAGGGAAGACAGCTGGCAACAAAATAGCCTCAGGAATCAAGGTAACTATTCACCCCATAATAACCAGCACAAACACAAGGTTCTTACCTAGTTACAGCTGTGCTTGTTTTTATCTTTAGTTTGAGATGCAAAGAGAGAGCTTAAAATCAGACACTTGGTATGTATGCCAGAAACTCTGAAAAGAGTTTGGTCACTTATTCAGACAAAACAGAAAAAAATTGTCTCACTAACCCTGTGCCAAGCATATAATTTACTTGAGCCATGCTGTCATTATTGCA